GTTTATTTTTGGTTCAAATAACTTGAAGATTGGGATGCTTGAGCTTTTCTTGATCTTTACAGCATTTACATCCTTTACTACCCGTGTATCAAAAAATAATATTGGCTATTCGTGATTCAAAAATTTTCAGTATAACATTTATTTACAGTTATACTCAAATTTCTACATCTTATACCTCTAGTTTTTGCTTTGATGCAAATAACTTAAGGAGAAAAAACGATATGAAAAACAGACAAAATATCTGATAAACTTTAATGTATTCTAAGTTAAAAATCTGTTTTTTTAGTCTTTAGCAAAGGATTAAAGTCATTAATTTTTACCCTTTTTTCAGTTTTCACTTTTCAAGTCAAACACATTTTTTGCTTGCATCGCGTCACATTTATTTCAATATCTGGTATTTCTAGTGCATTTGTGCAGCCCCTCCCACCCTTTACAAATTCCTAGCTACGGGCCTGCATCCCCTCCCCTGGATTGGATCCTATCTCAATTTTTTAAATGTGACTCTTCGTAAGAACTTTTTTTTCATCTTTCCTTTTATTCTTTTTTAAATTTTTGTTTTTTTCAAGAATTCAACATTATTTAACATTATTAAAATATTCATGTTTTAATTTTCATCCTAATATATTCTTTTATCAATATTATAATATCTTTCTGATTTTTTAAATTTTTTATAATGGAAATAAAATAATGTTTAATTAACGAATATTTTGGACATATTCCCGTTCTAATGTTTGTTTACTTTTGAACATAAACAAACTTGTTATATGCTGTAAGCAGGTTACAAGCTATTCTGTGAATTAGTCTACATTCTACTGTATTAGGTGATCATTGCGAATGGAATTCAGGCAGTTAAATTTTGAAAGTTTTGTTGTGTTAACTGAAAAGGGTTTTATTCATCAGGGGTATTTTGTATGATTTTGTTAAGGGGTATTTTCAACGAGGTTATAGAGTATGATGTACGCTAATCCTTTACTAATTGCATAGGCCATGAACTATACCGACAGTGTACTGTATATTTGATTATTACAAAGAGATTCTGGCCATAACCTATAGTAATCATTATTAGTAAACGATAAGCGTACAGTACAGTTAACTGAGTACACCGGAAGGAAACGGAGATATTTTTAAGTGATTATTTAAGGAGCATGTTACTCTTAAGTAAGATTTGAGTGAACCTTCATTTCTAGTGGCATTTTTGAGCGACATTTTATGGGGCATGTTCGAGTGACCCTCCGTTTAAATGATCCCAGTACAAAAGATAGCTTTGCCTGGCTTTCAACGATAAACTGAAAAGTAATAGTATTTGTTTGAAAGTAGAAATTAAGATTTAATCCTAGTGTTAAACTCTAACTCCAGAAGTGAAATGTTCTTGTGTATGATATTTGGGGCTGGGCTTCTCTTGGTCGAGGGAGTTACTATACCACAAGTTAATCCAGGTAGGAAGTGTACTCCTTGTTTATTTAATATGAAGTGTATTCCTTGTTTATTTAATGGGGAAGTGTACTCCTTGTTTATTTAATAGGAAGTGTACTCTTTTGTTAACCCAGGTAGGAAGTGTACTCTTTTGTTAACCCAAGTAGCAAGTGTACTCTTTTGTTAACCCAAGTAGCAAGTGTACTCTTTTGTTAACCCAGGTCTCGAAACCAAACCAGGTAGAAAGTGGACATGTAAATCCAGTTAGGAAGTGGACTCCTGGTTTAACCAGGTAGGAAGTGTACTAAAGGGAAATTTTGGGTTATCAAATTTAAATTTCAACTATTATTTTGAATAAATTGTTATTGGATGCCCGATAATCAAACTGAATAACTAGGTGTTGGTGTTGATATTGGACTAAATGGAGGGATTGCTTCTGCTAACTTGAAGCTCGGAGGAATGCAGGAGTTTGAGTAAGTTATTATGTAAAGCTTAAAGCTACTAGAAATTGAGGCGCTTCGCGCATAAATTCTATTTCTATTGAACTTTTTTTTTGTATACAACAAAAGATTTATAATGAATCAAAAATAAAACAAATTTCTATATTTACATTGGAAAACAAACAAGCTCACGGATTTTATTTTATTTTAAGAAAAAAATTGTAGATTTTCAAAATTTAAGTTAATTTTATGAAATTATGCTTATTTTTCATAAACCTTCCCTGTGGTCATGTGAGGTCCCCCACAGAAGTTTGGCCAAATCGGGTCAACTGTATTGACTGTTTTGGATAGACAGACGAGCAAAGTATTTATATGTGAAATTGTGGCTACCCTTCAAGCAGAAATTTTTAACCCCAGAACATTGGTTTTATTCAAGAACTTAAAACACACTTAATACTAGTCTCGTATAGCTTATAAGAAAAAATAAACTTAATTGCGAGGAGAATATAGGGGCCGGACAATATTGCTCTTAATGGAATATGATCAGGGAAGAGTTAATTTTATAGATACATTCTGTGAAATTTATTTATTTAGAATCCTCAATTTCAGGATCTGTAATGCTGACACTGATGACGATGTTGGATTGTGTACAAACAAGAATACTTGCGAGAATGCTAATGGTGTTGTTGCTGGGGAATGCAATGTAAGTTATACTTTCTAGGTCCTCCGCTCCGCAGTGGGGTATTTGTTAATGGTGTAAATTTAATATTGCTGACCCCTCCCCTGAAACCCCACATTGCGCCCTGTCCATTAATTTTTTTTTTATTGCTGGTTTTAAATGCTTTGTTAAATGCCTTGAATCATTTAAATTTTGTTCAATTAATTTATTGACCTTTAAATCTTAGTGAAGCATTTTTCGTTTTTTCTAAAGTTGTTTTATGTTGGTCTTAAGTGGTTTTTGTTTTGGTTCTAAAGTGCTTGTGTTTTCTTAGGTGTTTTGTGTGTTTTAAGTGGTTTGTAGCTAGTCTGAGTGAGTCTTTAGCTGGTTCTGTGATTTATGTGCAAGTTTTGAGAGGTTTACGTGTTTATTTGAGTGGATTATGTGGAGTGTTTTTGGTTGTTAGGTGTGTTTGCTCCCAGTGGTCCATGTGTTTGCTCCCAGTGAACCACATGCTTGCTCCCAGTGGTCCATGTGTTAAAACCAACATATAAAACACTTAAAACTGAGTGGTTAATGTGTTGGTTTTGAATGTCGTATTTTCTGTTTAGAAAGCTGGCAATGCTGTCGGAGGTGAAAATGTGCTTATTTGCTGCAAGAAAATCACAACTGGTGGAGAAGATTTGTCCTCTGTCATCTTCTACTATCGCAATCCTAACTGGCCTCTTGAGGATCGAAATGATTTATCCAGTAATCTCAAGGTCTGTTTTTCCTTCCATAAGTCTAGTTTTTTTTTTTAATTTAAATTCTTAAATAACAGGTTTATGTAATAATACTGTTGAGATTTTGTATTTTATGTTCCTATTTTAAGTTACAGTTCACAAAAGATCTCAATTTTATGTATGACCTTAACGGGAGAATACAACATATGTTAATAAAACAACCATCATGCATCAATTTCAAATAAAACTGTCTCAGATATCTGTGAGAAGGGGAGTGTGTCAGCTTAGACTTGACTTCTTGACCTTTGAGCTTCCTAGACCTGACAACACTGGGAGATGTACTGCTCAGGTAACCTTTCATGTATTAGTTCACCGGTTGTAGGGATGGGAGAGATGAAGAAGAAATAGCTGAAAATTTATATGAGATTGTTCCTTTGATCTTTTGTTCAATTCTAGTATAAATTAAAATTTTGCATTTTTACTGAATTAAAATCCGAATTATTTACTAACTTAGAACAGTATGGCTATAATGGCACCTGGAGCTCCCCTTGGTGTGCTTGGTGGTCGGAATAGTCGGTTATGTGGTCTCAACACAAAAAGTCATCTCTACATTCCTGCCAGCGCTGGAGACTCGGTAAGTGGTCTTTCCATAGAGAATAGAATATATATTAAGAGGGGAATTTAAAGAATCTCTCGGTATGAACTTTTTCAGTCCCTTTCAGCCTGAACTAAGTGTACAAATCATGTAAATGTTCACAAATTATATGCAGTAGAGTACATTAATACAGTATTTTCCCTAGACTATTCATTTCAATTTCGAATTTTTTAAAGCTGTTAAATAAACTTTATAATGAATTAGGTGAATATAAAACTTCATTTGATTTATAGTTATAACGCAAAATCATCGTTTGTAAAGTGAAAGGCGTAGATTCTATGTGAATTGATCATTGGTCAATTATGAAACCAGCCTATTTCATAATTTGGTTTTGTTTCAACATTAATTTTAGATTTTCTATCAAATTATATTCCAGGGCCCAAAAGGTTATATAGCATAAATATGTGAAGTACACCTGCAGTATGGAAACAGTACAACAAAATGGCTGTTTTACACTTGTTTCTAATAAATTCCACTCAAATATATATTCTATTCTCTTTGGAGCTTGCTCATGTGATCTTGTACAGAGACAACTTTATGATGACTGCCATCTGATTTTTGGGTAACCGTAGAATGCGTATTAAATTACTTGTAACTTTAAAACTTCAACTTAAATTTAACTTTTTTATTTTTGGCCATAATAGCAACTTAATTTCACAAAGATAATGTCTATACCTCAATATTTACAAGATACTCTTAGATAATTACAGTGTCCACCCTTAAAAGTTTTACTTTGTTGTGTGAACAACTTCAACAACTATGGTGAATTGACTGCCTCTTATTTTAAAATTTAGGTCCAAATTATAAAATAACTTAGGTCCAAATTATAAAATAACTTAGGTCCAAATTATAAAATAACTTAGGTCCAAATTATAACTACACTCTCTGGGACTGTTGCTGTTCCTCTGTCTAGAGCTAACTTGGCATTTTCTTCTTCAACTGCTTACAAGTGGAACATTATGATTACACAGGTACAGACACCCTTAGGGGAATTATGGAAGGAGGTAGGGTGGGTACTGGGTAGCCTGAAATTTAGTGACTGGCAATGAAATGTTAAAATTTCTTATTTTACAGTGTCCAGAAAATGTTTAGGAAGCAAATTTGGCATCTATATATAAAGTTGAAATCTCTGTTTGTATGTTTGTCCAATCATAATTCGAACCCCTGGACCGATTTACTCAAATTTTGATTGGGGCACTCTGAGTACTTAGGAAATGTTCATAGCTTATTTACGAGTTTGAGTTGAGTGGGTCAACTTTCATTGGGCAGAATAGGTGAAATCATAATTTACAACTAAGTGCGGGTAAACTGCTGGACTTAATGATTACCCTGGGCCTGGGTTCTTAGCTAGTGAAAAAATAAATAAGCAGTTTCACATAAGGTAAAAATTTACCCAACAATGTTCAAGGTTGAATGTGATTCTACCAACTCTTATTTCCGTGAACTTGAAGCTCCCACCTCCTGCCTGCAATGGTTTACTGAATCATTTGGATCTTTCTCTAGCTTCAACTTTGACGCAACGGCATATTTTGCCCCAGATCAGGTAATATTTTGGTTCAACCAGAAAAAAAACTTTCCAGGACTTAGCTTAGCAATGTTTTGTCATTATTAATTGTACCTGTTAAAGGTCATTAAAATCTATGACCCTAACTTTAAAGCTTTTCCGACTAAAATTTGGATGTACTTGTAATAATTCTTAGGATTATGCAATTTGTATTCGGAACCAAGGAAATAATCCCGGCAGCAGGACTTGTGGTGTGACTCTCAGAGCTACCAACTTTGGTTTGCCTGTATTTGGGTAATATATTCATTTTTATTTCATATATTAATATTACTAGAGCTGGAATGTCTGAGTCTGTTAGATATTGCAAAACCCACTGGACACTTATCAATTTTCTGTTTCATCCCTGCTGGGTTTTGAATAATGAGTTCTTGTTGATTGTGCATACAAATTTTCCGGTCTCTTATTAGCTGTTTGGGATTATACAAATGATACTCTTGATTGGTTGAATTTTTGACACTTATTGATGTCAAAATAAAGATTTCTTAATCTACAGGTTAGCAAAATTAAATTATGCATTGGTTTTAATCTACATATCTAAAGTTTTCTGCTCTGTTTGAAGTTTAGTGTACTTGTTATATACCATGTTAATATTAATATTAACATGGTATATAAATTTGCTTACTAGATTAAAATTGTTTGCCCATGTAAAGATGAGAGTTCCTGATTTACAACGGTACCCTTAAAAGCTTTATTACAAGAATTAGATATTTATGTTTTTTTTTCAAGGGATGATCTGCCAGCTTGTGGGCTAGGATATGAGACTGTAAATGAAGCTGCTGGCCGTGAATGTTGCCTGAATCCGTCCTCCAGCTACCTGGGATTTGTTGCTAGGCTCCCAAACCCTAAATACGGAAACAAGATGGCGACTAAGAGATATTGGTGTGGAGCTCAGCTGGGAAGAACCGGACAGATCTCAAGCTCTACTGAACCATATGTCATCAAGGTTCTTAATTTATTTGCTTTTTGTGGGTCTTTAAATTGCTATTTTTCATGCCATTCATCGGGTATCGTTTAGATGTACATGCTATTTTAAAATTGCATGCGTGAAACTTTTGATCATGTTCTGATAAATTACCAATTAGTTTTTTCAAATCTTATTGTTAGTATTGGACTTTTTTAATCTCTTTGTCATATCATATGCATATCCCAATTGTTCAAGTGTTTCTTTTGCTAGTTTTTAAATTGGCATTTCTATGTGTTAATGCTTTGATATTTTATAAGAAATTAAATCGTTAAAGGGAGTTTTTACGAAAAATGAAAGGGGTGAAGGCTTACGGCAAAAATCTCGTGATTGCTACTAATCTTACTTTGCTTGATCTGCTAGTTAGTGCTGGGAGTCTTAATCAATTAATATTTCAGGTGTTCTCTGGACAATACAGCAGTGATCTGTCCAAATACACTGAGTTTCCTCCTGTTGGGTTCAGCATTGATTACAAGATTGATACTGGAATTTGCTAAGAATTTGTGAAACTTGCTATTTATTTTATGTTCTTAATATATTTTATCTTTAAAAAGTGTTTTATTATACAGATATCCCTTGTCTTGATGTGTTATATAGATATCCCTTTCTTGATGTGGTTTGTATTGCAATCCACATTTAGATTTATCTATATATTAATTTGTTTGTTTGTATCCAATAAACGTCAAAACGGCTGAACCGATCGGGCCCAAATTTTTGTGGGATCTCGAGTTACCTCAGAGAAGGTTTTTATGTTATATTCGGCACTGTATCTACTGTACCTGAACTCTTTGTAGTTAAAGAAGATTACTTTACATTGATATTAATCAGGAAAATTTACAAAGGAAATTAATGCATTCTCAATGATATTTGAATAAGGGTATCTATTCGCAATATTTCTGCGCAATTTTGTGCGAAAGGAGAACTTTATTTTTTGTGCTTTCATTGCGCTACACTTATGTACGAATAGAAAGCACACTGCAATCATTCACAAGATTGCGCTTTTCCGCTTTTGCGTGTTTTTGTTGTGCATTTTTTTGGCGCCTATTTCCTGTTCTGTGCCATCTATTAGCTTTATTCTCTTTCGGCAGCCATGAGCCACCACTATTTTCCTTTCCGTACCACCACATTTGACTCTTCCGGGCAAAACTACTTTTTCAAATGGTATATTTAGGACCTATAAAGTGTGATTTTAAAAATCCAACATCGTCACGCAAAAAAGCACAACTCAAACCATTTTTTTAATTCTACCTAAGATTATTATTTTGTGTGTTGAATTCTTAAACTGTTCTACAATAAAATTTTGACATTTTACTGAGAATTGCATCTTGAAATATCACAAAGTCAATTACTGACTCATTATACTAAATCCATCTTTAAATCACTCGTCAACCAACTCCCCATCATTGCACATTTTCACACAAGGGTTCTCTTCAAAACTAAAGTGTATTTATGGTGCGTCATTTTAATATTGATATTGCTCTTACAAATAAGCCATTTTTTATGAAAATCAGAATTTAGATTTGCAAAAAAAAAGTTTTACAGTTTACATTAAGAGGAATCATCCTTATTACATATTAACACTGAAATATAAAGACCTACAGTGTGCCTGAGGACTCAGGCAGTTAGTATTAAAGCCTGGTTTTAGGCTTAAAGGGAGGGCTTTGGGTATGTAGGAAAAGTTGAGTTATGTAAAAAAAACTACAGGGGGGGTCAAATTGCTCCCCCCCAGCAGGAATAGGGTTAAAATTGAGGCTGTTCAAAATTGAGACTGCTCAAAATTTGATCTCAAGGTTGTCAATATCTCAGTTAGCAGACCCCTGTGATATTTTTATCATTTGCATTCGACTAGAAATGTTCAACATTTGAAAAATCAAAAGTTGCCACCACAAAGAGTGACTTACATTAAAAAAATAGGAGTTATGAACGTCGAATTTGCGCTCAAACTCAGGATTTAGACATCTTTAAAAAGTTTAATATGTCTCAAATGAATCCGAATGAAGTTTTCCACAACACTGCATACTCAGTTCAACTACCTTACATAGCCGGTCACTCCCTTTAATAGGAACAAACGGTGATTGGTTGAAGAATAACTCTTGCAAAACATTCTAAATCACAGGACTATACAAAAAAATAAAGTCTAAAAATGTGTCCTATTCCTATCTAAAGTCTTATTTAAACCGTATTTACAGAGAATATTGCAATTGTTAAAAAATGTTGAGGAAACTGCAGTTGGTATAATTTAAGATGACCATACATTTGTTGTGTCAGATTCACAACGATACCCTTCAAGGCTTTAACCCTTTTACTGATAGTGGTCTTATTCTTCTTTATCTTTTGAAATTCTTGTAATTGTTTGAACACTTAGTTTGCAAGAAGGCTGTTCTCGATGGAACAGTCAAAGGTACCACCGTTCTTGACTTTAAAGTGACACGTAATAGATAATGTTTTGGCAAAAAAAAACTTCTTATTTACTGTTTTTATTAAATCAAGAAATTTCATGGAGGTACGGTTAAACCCTAAATGAGCCATACATCAAAAGAATTTATTAAATGTCGTCATGACAATTTTTCTATGAGTTTTGATACTTTTTTACGTAAATCTCAGTATTAGCGAAAATAAATAAATAGCCATGAATATGCTGGAACAGTATTAAAGAGCTCCATATAAAACGCTTATCTTACAGTAAAATAATAAAAAGGTAGTTGAACTGAGTATGCAGTGTTGTGGAAAACTTCTTTCGGATTCATTTTAGACTTATAAAACTTTTCAAAGATCTGTAAATCCTAAGTTTTAGCGCAAAGTCGACGTTTAATATGCTTTAAAAAGTCTCAAATGAATCCGAAAGAAGTTTTTCACAACACTGCATACTCAGTTCAACTACCTTACATAGCCGGTCACTCCCTTTAATGATAATTATTCAATAGTTAATGGGGTAATTAATTTGGAACTCAGGAATTCAATGTTTATTGTAATTTTTAGTCAAAAATTCATAATCATTTTGAAAATTTCATTCAAATAATTAGGGTCGGTTTTCATTCAGCAGAGTAAAGTTGTATCCCCTCCATTTTCTTTCATTGTGGCAGATATCCAGTTGATATACTCTTAAATATATACAATGAGAATTCTGCTTATTACTAGTAGTTGAACTGAGTATGCAGTGTTGTGGAAAACTTCTTTCGGATTCATTTGAGACTTATAAAACTTTTCAAAGATCTGTAAATCCTAAGTTTTAGCGCAAAGTCGACGTTCAATATGCTTTTAAAAGTCTCAAATGAATCCGAAAGAAGTTTTTTACAACAGTGCATACTCAGTTCAACTATGTACCTTACATAGCCGGTCACTCCCTTTAATAATAATTATTCAATAGTTAATGGGGCAATTAATTTGGAACTCAGGAATTCAATGTTTATTGTAATTTTTAGTCAAAAATTCATAATCATTTTGAAAATTTCATTCAAATAATTAGGGTCGGTTCATTCAGCAGAGTAAAGTTGTATCCCCTCCATTTTCTTTCATTGTGGCAGATATCCAGTTGATATACTCTTAAATATATACAATGAGAATTCTGCTTATTACTTCTTTAAAACTCGAGCTATAAACATTGAGGCATGGTTAACAGTTCTAAAATGTATATGGGATGGCCGATGTTAATCTGTGTTAAAAACACGTTTGAAAAACATGCCTAGAAAGCCGTAAACAAATTACTTTAGTCCTTGAAAATTGCTTCACTTTAAATTTTTAATGCAAAGAGTGAAACTATGGGGCACTTATTTAAAAAAATGCTCAAATCCATCTTGCACCAGTTATAACGTTTTCTTTGCTACATTTTTAAAACTATTTGAGAGTCATTTTCATAATTTTTAAACTCATTCAGATGTTTGCTTTTTTGTGTAAATCAAATCATTAATGTAAGAAAAATCTCGTCAAAGAAAATAAAAATGGGTATTAAAATAGCCGTCTTGTACCACTAAGTTCAGAAACCATTTGTTTAGAAGTCTTTGTCATCAAGATGGGTTATTCAGTATGCTTCAAGGTTGTATAATAAGGTTGGTTACTCTCGATGCCCTCCAATATACGGAAAATGTCTTCTCCTAAGATAGATAGATAAAAACTGAATATGACAACACTAATATTAGAGTCGAGAGTGACGTCATATTAGATTCCTATCTAAATTAGGAGACGACATTTTCCGTGAATTGGAGAGCATCAAGAATACCCAGCCTTATTATACAGCCTTGATGTATTAGTTTATTTTCTTACTTAAAACTTGTGACGACATTTTCCGAAAATTGGAGAACATCAAGATAACCAACCTTATTATACAACCTTGATGTATTAGTTTATTTTCTTACTTGAAACTTGTGTAAATGAAGCAGGGGAGTTAGCAGAACTACATCCTAGGCTTTTACTGACAACTCCAACCAGCTGATTTTTCTGTATTAGGGGCCCTCCGTGGTCACCCTAGATCAGAAATATCAGAAATATTTTGGTTTATCCCTCCATCATTCCACGGTCACCCTGGAACTTTAAAATGAATAAAATTTAGTTTATTATTCTGTATAAATGGCCCAAAATCATTAAAATCTTTAATATTTAATATTCTATATATATATCCGGCCCTCCATGGTCACCCTGGAACATATAAATCAATAAAATATAGTTTATTTTTCTGTATAAATGGACCTCTGTAGTCACCCTAAAACATATTTAAATCTTTAAAATCGTGTATATTATTCTGTGTAAATGGTCCTCCGTGGTCGAACCTGGAACATTAAAAAGATTAAGTTTTTTTCTGTATAAATATGGCCCTATGTGGTCACTCTGGAACATAATAATCAATAATATTTAGTTTATAATTCTGAATAATTTATAAATGGCGCTCCGCGGTCACCTTGAAACATGAAAACTACTAAAATCTAGATAATTATTCTGTATAAATGACCCTCCATTATTCCATGGTCACCTTGGAACATAAAAAAAAAAATTGANATTATTCTGTATAAATGACCCTCCATTATTCCATGGTCACCTTGGAACATAAAAAAAAAAACATTAAAAAAGCTAGTGGTTTTGAAAAAAAATTATTGTAGAATTTAGAAGGAAAGGTTAACAAAGCTAGGGCTTCCTCAGAACATTAGTCCCCACTCCTCACCTTCTTATTTTAACGTTAAAATAGTTTGATGCATTCCAAAATTTGAGATTTATAAATAAAAATGTCTGTTAAATAATTTTTCTTGAAAATATTTCTCGGTACTTTCTCAAGAATTGACAGAAGTCGTAAGACTAAGAATAAGACAGTTCTTTTGTGTTAATAAGTAAATAAATAAAAAAATCACTCAGCCATCATTCCGTACAGTAGGGTTTCCAAATTCTTCTGAATTAATTGTGCTTTGAATTGGAATTTATAGTTAAGAAACCTTTTCTGAAGGTGTTAAGAATGATAAACCTTTTAAAACAGGGTTACTCACAAAGGATGAGACTTCAGAGACGACTGTGCATAATTTATAATATCAGTTTTATATGCATGATTCCATGCTAAAGCTAAATGTTTCTTTTTTACCAAATCATTAAATAAGTTATTAAAATACTATACTCAAGGGTAAATAAACCTTAGAACAGTGATACTTTTAAAGTTTAAGGTCGTCTTTACAGTCTCATCCTTTGTGGGTAACCCTGTCTCTCTTAGATACTAAACAGAGCTTGAATATGAACGAGCCTCCCAGATTTGCTATGCAGCACTGAGCCTCCGCTCTACGGTGCGTCTAGGATTTATTTGAATATCTGTTGAGAAAATTTACGGAACCAAAGGAATTGAGTTTTTGCCACAACCTCAAATTTTACGGAAAATTTACGGAACCAAATTTATCCGGAAATATTTGGAAACCCTAATCAAACCCTGATGAAACACTTTTTTAAGAACATTGAAAAGAGTAAAATCATAATTAAAACTGTAATTAATGTGATGATAAAATTCCCAAATCCATCAAAGTGTAGAGTATATAGAGTGTATCAAAGTGAATATACAATATCAAATCCTTTCACTGGATAATTACTGAACCTTAACGCACTCTAATTAATGTGAATCAAAACTTTTTAATTTTCATATTTAGAAGCAAATAATGAATTTATTTTATACTTAGTATTTTAATAAATTCACAGTGCTTTAATTTACATGTTCTGTATTGTAAATGCACTGTACTGTATATGGATTGTACGGTACGTGCACTCTACTTTACATGTACTGGTACTGGTACTTACCAGTACATTTACATTTATTTTACATGTACATTTATTTTACATGTACATTTATTGTAAATGTACATTTATTATACATGTAAATTTATTGTACAAGTACATGTTCACGTACTGTACTGTACTGTACTGTACTTTATTGTACTGTGCATGCACTGTACTTTACGTGTAAATGCATTGTACGGTTTACTGTACTGAACTGTACTGTACTGTAATTTACATTTACTGTACATGTGTGTGCAGTTTAATACATGTACAGCAAAATACTTGTACAATTTAATAAATGTACAGTAAAGTACGGTTCATTAAAGTACAGTTCAGTAAAGTACAGTACAAGTACAATGCATGTACAGTTCAATTCATATACAAAACAATACATGCACAGTACAATGCATGTACAATGTACATTGTACAGTAAAATATATGTGCATGTCCAGTACAATACATGTACATGTACTGTACAGTACAGAACAGGTAAAGTACAGTGAATGGACAGTACATGCACAATACTGTATATGCATATATACTTGAACAGTATCTGTACTGTTCTGTAACTTGTACTTTACTGTATCTGTAATGTACTGTATCTTTAATTTTCTGTATCTGCACTGTACTATGCTGTATATGTAATGTACTGTACTGTATCTTTAATGTACTGTATCTGTGCTGTACTGTATATATGTACTGTACTGTATCTGTTATTTACTATATCTGTACTGTAGGTATACCTTACTTTACTGTGCTGTACTGCTCAGGAACTAAACTGTCAAAAACTATATTGTTTCTTTTCTATGAAATAGTACGCTGCTGTACTGTGTTGTACTTTATTGTTCTGAGCTGTACCTGGCATCTTTCCTCTTTTTTAGCACAGAGCAGACCTTCTGTACATGTAGGATTCAGGTCAAAGTTGACTGTTTGTATACTTTCACTCAGAGATCCTAGAAATATAATAATAATAATAATGATAATAAACTTATAACACTTGTATTTTGGTTCGCAGTGTAAATAAAGTTTTTGGACAAGCTTTAGCTTTAGTTATCATGTATTCTTTACAACTAAATCAGGAAAATAAAAGAACTAAAGATGTTAATTTTTAACCCCTTTCCAAAAATCCTTCTTTGTTTACGTGAACTTGATATATAATATTTTACTTTGAAATAATTCTCGAGATTATATCATAAACTTTTCAAGCTAAACGTCCATATATAATGGGACAAATCAAAACTTTGATGTACTTCCTTTCACAATATATAGTTTTCATCTTTTTAATAGTTTTCCTTTCTTAACATAGGCTTATTTTTATTGAAATGAAACCTTTTTCGAAAAACACAATTACCGCACGCAAGGGTTTCATCAATTTAATCAAATTCTTTGAAAATTGAAATACTAATATTTATGATTTGTAAACTTCAAACAGGAGCAGAAATCAACAAAATTGAAAAAATTCTAAAGTGGGCCAAACTCATAGTTGAATGACGACATTTTATGTCCCAAGTATTTTATAAAAGTATTTCGGAAACCATATGATCTGTTTGTGCAGGGTGTCCCACGAAACATGACATTTAAAAAATCGTTATTTTTAGTTAAAACATCCTTTTGCTTCATTATCTTTTACTTTGAAATCAATTTTAATATGACATGACTCCCATTTAATATTTTTATTGATCTTTGGTACCAAACAGCTCAACAAATTATGGAAAAAGACATTCTAAACTATTCACCAACTGTCATGTTTCGTGGGAACCCCTGTAGTTCATGGAAGGAACGGCCTCTGTTTGTACTCTGTTTGAGTACAGTTCAACCTTCAACTGGTGAATTTTTATGAAACAAAGTTAAATCTTCTGACGTTACTTGAATTTCAGAAGCAAAATTTGTTGGGTTGAAGAAGTTGAAGCTTTTTAAAGTGAGTTAAAAGATCTCAAACTTTGAGTAACATACTAATTTCTGTAGCTAAAACCGAAACTTTATAACTGCAAATTACTTTTAATGAGAATTTTTTTCCAAACCGTTAAATTTCAAGTTTTTTTTAATGACGACATTATTAGTTGTAAACTATTTCTAGTTCTGAGGGATTTTTTGGAATTAAAAAGTTAGGTTTATTTGATGTGGGAACACTATAACAAACAAAAGAACATTTAATGAAAAAAGATCTTGAAAAACTAAACCTTATAATATAATTATATGAACTTGACAGATAAAAGATTAATCATCTTTCTGTAATATCCAAAAAAGTGTCAAAAATTCAACCAATCAGAATGTTTGTTCGTTTGCAGAAACCGAAAGGCTAATCGTGAGCCAGAAATTTGCACGCAACCATTGAGATCACTCCCACTAATGGGAGCCCAGTTAAGGACTTCCATACAGAGAGGATTAAATAGAAAATCAAAAATGTATACTATGGATTAAATGATCTGAGGCCAAATTTTAAGAATTTGAGCGGCGGTTTAAATTTAAGCCGCCCCTCAAATATGCTTGATTTCACTTAAAATTGTATTCAATGTTTCAAGATTTAAGCAGGTGCTTAATTGAAACCGGTTTTTGGAGGATTTAAGACACGGCTCAAATTCCTTAAATTCGGACACGGGATCAATGGTATCCAAAATAATTCTCAGCTCCGAGCCTGAGATTTAAAAAATTGGGGAAAATAAGACTAGACTCGATCAGGTTTCATTGAGACTAATTTACAACTCGAGCGTCGTGATTTCAGTTGCAACTAATTTTCCACAAGGTTGGGTTTATTAAAGTGGTTTAACATTGTGTTTGTCGGATTTTCATGGTAGGAATTGGCGATCATCAGCTGTTGAAGACCTGAGCCTTAAAGAGCAAAAAACCCTTGGCAGTTGGTTTTTACTAATCTCAAGGTCATCCAAAACCCGGGCCTTGACTTGACCTTTACTTGGTTCTAAGCAGATACAAAGACCGGGTTTTACTCTATTTAATCTCAGCTCAGTTGCCGTCAGAGTTGGGTCTAAGATTGCGCAGAGGATGACGACTTTTTATGTCCCAAGCATTTTAGTAAAATATTGCGGGGCCGTTATAATCTGTTTGTACTAGGTGTACAGTACTAAATAATCTGAACTTCATTTGGTTACAAACTTTACACTAGAACCAAACTACGAAGTTAATGTTAAAACACGAAACCACAAAGAGTTCAAATAAATAGTTCCCAGTAAATATTAGTGCGATATGCCCGTTAAATGCATTATGGTAATATCCGTAACCAAAAACGAAACTTAAGTGCATATCGTAATTATGTGTGATGAGAGCTTTTTAGATCCGATAAATTGCAAGTTTTTTCAACGACGACATTAAAAGTTGTAAACTAATTCTAGTCCTTTCATCATAAATTGGACCACGAAACAATTATTTGACAATTTTACCAAACCAAATAATTGTGTATGGCCCAAATAAAATCGTCTTTATTTAGTCTGCTCCACTTTATTCATTTTGCTAAGGTTGAGCCTTAAACCCGAGCCCGCGATTTAAAAGCTTTAGGCTCAGGTCAAAATTCCTTAAACCGAGCTTTAAACCCCAATCTAAGACCCTACTCTGACGACAGCTTGTGTCACGTGATTGACAGCTCCGAGATCTTAGGCTCGACTTAAGGAGTTAAACCCAATCAAAATAAAACCGACCTTGGTTGGTTTTAGTGGAGATTAAGGCTAGCTCAATATAGAGACTTGAGCCCGAAATTAAAGAATTTGAGCCGGGGCCTAAATTTAAACCGCGACTCAAATATCGTTGGTTCCACTTAATATTATACTCAATTTTTCAAGATTGAAACCGATTTTTGTTTGATTTGAGACGCCGCTTAAATTCGTTAAATTCGGACACTGCACTGTTCTCATCTAAACCCTGAATGCGCCAATTCCAAATATGAAAATCCGGAAATACAATTGTAAACCGTTTTTATGAGCTCAACTGTATGGAAATTAAATTCAACTTAAATTCAAAAGCCCAAACCGTAAATAAGGCTCAACAACAGCTAAGACGGTTAGACCTTAGTCGTCTTTTCCCGATTTTTTTAATCGCAGGCCTTCGGTTCAAGGAATTAAGACCCGGGCCGTAGCTTTCAAATCGCAGTCTCTGACTTATACAATTATGAAGATCATCTTGACCTTATAATTAGAAGAAGCTAACCCTAAAGTATCTTCCCCCAGTATTACGTTCACCTTATTCACGCCTACGATTAAAATAAAATTAAAAATATTCATTGTATTCAATATTTGCTGTAAATATTATTTACTCTGTTATTTTTGAAAATTTTATCCACGCAGGAGGCACAATATTAAAAGATTCCTCCTTATTATCCAAATAATTACTCCGGAAGACTGAAATTATTTTCAATTCGATAGCTTTCACAAAAACAGAATTTTTTACAGAATATCAATAAATAATAATTTTTGTGTGAAAGCTTACAACCCTTGAATCCATTGTTTACCTATTCTATTAATATTTGAAACTGAACATGAAGCTGATGTAAGAATCCATTGATTTGATATCAGAGCTCCGGCACAATAAGGAGAACTTTCTTCAGCTGAAACAAAAACCATAACTTAGAAATCAAACACGGTTCTGTTCTAGGGTAGTAGAGTCGTGTTGGTACTTCAAATGAACCGTAGTTTTTGGTGCAGTGTTAATCATGAGTATTCAAAAGTTTTCGGTCAATTTCGATATGTTCTTCTAGTTTTGTTTTCTGTATTGTATGTACTATTAAGAAAATTGTATTCACGCCTCAAATGATATAAAAGAAGGAAATGAACAAGAAATAATCTATATAATAGAACAAGACATTCGTATATATGTTCCCTCTGGCCGACCAAATGGTTGGACAGAATGGGCTAACATTTTTTGCGGACACTCATGGGTAGCCTGATGGTGACATAGGCTTTAAAAAATTCTATATTTTTCCCCCACGGACCCTTCAGTTAATAGATTAATTTTCTTTTATCAACCACGGGCAGTCGTAGTACATTTGAATTTCCGATCCGGGTCAATCTTTCCGGTCCCAGTTTGTACTGTATCGCACGGACATTGGGTAAATAAAGCAAACACTCAATAGGACTAGCCGGTGCAACAAGGTTGACGCGGTCAAACTTTAGGTTGAATTTACTTTTACTGAAAAGTCAGATGTGCTGCAACACCCAATAGAACATTAATTATTAATAACAAGAAACATATAAACACCAGAAACCCCTATATTGTTTACTAATAATTGGTGTACTACAATTTCTGGGACGAATTTAAACTTTAAGTTGCTCAAGTTAAAGGGAGTGTTCGTGAAAAATGAAAGGGGTAAGGCTTACGGCGAAAAATAATCGCTTTTGATTGCTACTTATCTTTCTTTTAAAAGTTGCGCTTATAAGGAGAAAATTGTTAAAAACGACTTATACTGAAGAACGTAGCGTCCATACAAATTCAGAAAGTTGCTATATATGACTTGGATCGTAAAAAAATCAATTTAATTTCAAACAAATCATTTAGAAATTACAAACTATAGTCATCGATTATTTTTCGACGCATTCGTGTAAATTTAATATTTCATAATATTTTTTTTGTTTTGTATACAATGCACTTAAAAAGCCGAAAAAGTTGGCTGCCAGGTGTCTCTGGTCTCGACGCTTTGAATGATTACACTGGCAGAGACACCTAGCGGAAAATGTCGTTTTAAGTGCAATTTTTTGTTTCCGAAATAAATTTAGCACCCCCTCACTTCAATCCTGTATCCGCCCCTGGTACCTTATGTACCTCGGTAACCTTGAAAAAAAGAAAGTAGAAATAAAAATAAATGAACCGAAATGTATTTCTTAATTCACAACATATGCTTTATTCAGCTTCAAAAAAACAGTTAATTTATTTAAAAATCAACTGTACGGAGTACGACTAGAATATTAATTAGCATTGTTATAATTCCAACCTTTAGAGAAAGAATAGGCTAGGCCCGCTAGATAGGACCGCTGACCTAAAGTAAAATGATGTCAATTGGTAAAAAAGACAATTACAAAAATAGACATTTAAGAAAACCAGCCATTTAGAAATTTAAACATTTAGAAAAATAGACATTTAGTAAACTAGACTTTTAGAAAACTAGGCATTTAGAAAAATAGACAATAAGAAAACTAAACATTTAGAAAACTAGACAATTAGACAAATAGACAATAAGAAAACTAAACATTAGAAAATTAGAAAACTAAACATTTACTAAAATAGACATTTAGAAAAATAGACAAGAAGAATAATAAACATTTAGAAAACTAAACAGTCAGAAAACTAGACATTCAGAAACCCAGATATTTAGAAAACTGGACTTTTATAAAGCAAAAAGTTTAGGAAACAAGACATTTTGAAAGCTAGACTTTGAGATAATTAAAAGACTTTTAAAACAAGACATTTTTAAAACTAGATTTTTAGAAAACAAGACATTTTTGAAAACTTGACATTCAGAAAAATAAGCATTTTTAAACAAAGCATTTTAGAAAACTACAAATTTAGAATACACAACATTTTGAAAACTAGATTTAAAGAAAACTGAACTATATAAAGAAAACTAGATTTAAAGAAAACTGGACTATATAAAGAAAACTAGATTTAAAGAAAACTGGGCTATATAAAGAAAACTAGATTTAAGGAAAACTGGACTATAGTCTATATAAAGAAAACTAGATTTAAAATATTTAATAAAGTAGACACTTAAAAAAAACTACAGGGTGGTGTGTCAAAAAAAACAGGGATTATCGATGTTTTGGACAAAATTTTTAAAATTTTTCTTTTAACGCATAAATAAAAAAATGGGATAAAAATATTCAAAAATATTTTTGGAACATAGAGAAAAAAAATCCGCGAAACCCATTTTCTAAGAAAATATTTAATTTTTTGAAAAATTGTTGGAAAAATGTTTAAATTATTGTTTTCATAAATATTTATTAAAAATTCCATGAGATGTAACAAATAAGATATGCCATGGGTTATTATTTGATAACATTTACTGCAGATTTACACTTTAATTTTTTTGAAAAATTTGGTTAGCGGATTTTTTTTTGCAATGTTCCAAAAATATTTTTGAATTTTTGTTATCATTTTATTTTATTTATGCCTAAAATCCTAACAAAATATTATTTTGAAAATTTTGTCCAAAACATCGATAATCCCAGTTTTTTTACTCACTCTGTAGATATTTTGAACGGAACAATTAGAAAACAAGACATTTAGAAAACTGGTATTTAGATTACAAAATATTAAGATATCAAGACGCAAGAATTAAGATTTTAAAACTTAGAAACTTCTTATTATTATAATTATTATCATTTTCATCACAATTCTTATTACAATTAAAATTTATATTACTTTTCTATTATTTATATTTTAATATTTAATAATTGTATTAATAATGTACATAAAACTTGTTAAAAAGGCTCTGAAAAACTAGAAAGGATTAATGCAAATGTGTTTACATAATATAAAAACATAAATATTTTTATTTTGCTAAAATTGCTCTAAATTTCGTCTTTTTGATTCACTGCACGTCAATCACAATAATTACTGTTCTATTGTGTAAAAAGGAAAAGACTGCTGCTATGACTATTAGAGGACTGTTGAATAACAAGTGTTATTTTGAACCACATGTTTATTATTATTAACATGAATGATAGTACACAATGCTATGCTTAACACAAAAATGTTTGATATCTTAGTATATGTATATACATAGCTTAATGCAAAGAATTATGTCACAAGAGGTGTACGCATTTTTAGTACTGCAGTGTACTGTCTCTGGGCGCTAAAGTAGACACAAGGCGGATGTCACACAAATCAATCTTTTCATTATTCTAGTCATAGGAAACTATTTAATGTGAATTATCAATATTATCAAAATTAAATGCTTTTATCCTCCTCGGATACTAGAAGAACACTGATGCATCTATTCTTGTTTACAAACACCGCCCAGAGAGAACTGGTTTCAATACGTAAGCAGAGAATACGCAACAGCAATTAACTGTCCTTGCCTTATTACCTTGGCTTAATTTGGGAAGAATGAATATGACATTAGCTCTTTTATTTATGTTGAGAGAATCTGTCATACTATATATGTTTGGTGTTACTCACATGAATGATACACAATGCTAAGCATAAAAGGAAAATATTGGGGGGGGGGGGACGTGTAGGTTTATAAATTTGCTATTTGTTTAACACCAATGTTTTACTATCTATATAATAATATAGTTGACAGGGTGAATCTGACTTAATTACTCTTTAATTTGAGGGTTACTTAAAATTACGTATTAAAATCCTGTAAAGCTCACCTAAACAGTTGTTTTAACGCTACGCTCTTGGGTATAAGACGTGTTTAGCCATATCTTATACACGCAACAGATAAAGGTAAAATTAGTAGCGATCGGAATTCAATTCGATGTCAGTCTATGCCCCCTTTCATTTTTTGCAAACCATTTTATTTAAGGGACTATAAATGAAATTTGAGATGATCTTCAAATCATAAAGTAGCATATGCGATTTTCAACAGTACTCTTAAACCTTTGTTAGTTTCATGAAGAATAATGTAATTTTAATGTTTAAATATATGATTGTTAGATTACATAAATAATTATTTCTATAAAAGTATATTTCTGCGTCATTAAAATATCGCTTGAACAAAGGAAATAATGTTTCATCTGTTGAAACATTTATTTAATTATTCTTCTATTGCTATTGTGAACTCACTCTTAAACAACAATGTATATACGAACGAACGAACGAGATTTTTCGTGAACGTTCAAAAGTTCTTAAAGAATTCTTCCTTCTTGTTTAATATGCACAAAATATGAGACAGCAAAGACGACCTGGAATTCTTCTAGTATGAGGGTTTCAAGGTCAAATTAGGTATTCTGTCATAAATATAGTATGTTATGGTGTTTTTAGGCAAAAGAAATATTTACAGAAGCAGGGAATCTCAAACATAGCACTCCTGTATGCCGAGTCCATTAGCACCTGATCCAATCAGGGTTCAGTCATGTGTTTGTTGTCTATTCTGAACCAATATAAATAGTATGGCGGTAACATTTATCTTTCCATCTATCTCATTATCCAATTAGAGATATGAATCTTTCAATCGGCGCTATCGGTAAACGGAAATATTTACTTCTTATGAAACTATAGTGATAGAAAAACAAACATTGCTAATTTCGTAGAGTCGTCCCTGAAGTCTCATCCTTTGTGGGTAACCCTGTATGGTGTCAACCCTTATAGAAATCCAACGTATAGAAACAGCTGCGTATAGCAACAAGGGGTATTTTCCGGGAGAACATTTTTTTATATTTTTGAGAATTAAACGTTTTTGTAAAACATTGCAGCTTATCATTTTCATAATTTCTAATTTTTTTAACATACCCTAGACATTAAAGGAGCAAAATATTTTAAAATATGTACATTTGTACTGCTCTCTATTGTATTTAAGGTCCCCCAGATTTTATTATGTTCTGACAACATAAATTAATGATTATATGGTTATACATAAATTTGCATGTTACTATTTAAAAAAATATTTTATAAAAATGCTATCTCAAAAGTATTAAAAATTTCTCCAGTAATGCGAATATGATTTCATAAAATTCCGTTTTACCATTTAAATGAACGGATTTTATGAAAATTATATCTACTTTACACTGATTATTTAATTTCTTAAAAATATAAAAAATGTCCTCCCGGAAAATACGCCATGTTGCTATACGTAGCGGTTTCTATACGTTGGATTTCTATAAGGTTTGACGCCACCCTGTATGTTTATTGTACGATACATTTTACTCAGCGTCAATGTCATCCAATGAAATTATAAAAGGATTAGTTTGTGTTTTCAGTTTCTTAAAATAAATAATTCTCTAGCAGTATAGCTTATCCTTAATCTGATATTTGCATCTAAACTCAGAATATATTCTCACAAATTCAGGAAATTCTGTTCGACCAAGTTTTTAGAAAAGGCAATTTAAGTATTGGCTTACTGGATAAGCGGAAACATAGTTTGTATTTTTTTAGTGCAAAAATGTAACATTACATTGAAAATAATCATTGAGTAATAATCGTGTATTATATACCGTTTTATAATCTTCTATACAAAATTTACATTGGCTGCGGGTGAAAACATTTTTGGAATTGTTCGAAATTAAAGGAAGTTAAGTATTTTAAAACTTATTTAAGTTTTTCTAAATATACTTAATAAATTAAAAGTTTGAACTAAATTCGTAATATCTCAGTCTATTTCATCGATCAGAGCTCTGAGTCCAAATTTAATGAATTTGAGCCACATCTCGAATCCGCAAAAAACACGGTTCAATTAAGCGCCGGCTTAAATCTTGAAACATTGAATAAAATTTTAAGTGGAACCAATCATATTTGAGCCTCATCTAAAGTTCAAGCCGTGGCTCTAATTCTAAAAATTCGGCCTCTGGGCACTCTTTTATTGCGGATATCGAGATCAATGCTTAATCTCAATCTTTTGTTAATCTGCAGATTAATGTCTTTTCGATATCCCACATTAAAGTACCCAGTCGATCATGGGTTTAAAGGATCAGTGAAGATACGGAAAGGTATTATAGTTTTTATAGATCGTCAAATTATAAGTGCCCGCAGTGGATATTGATGGATCTAGATCAAGGGATCGGGATTATGAGTGTTCAACACATACATATTACATACAGGTTTAATGTAAGCTTGGATAACTTCTACTCTGATCGGGATTATGATGATTCAACACATACATATTACATACAGGTTTAATGTAAACTTGGATAACTTCTACTCTGAACGCATTTGAGGCCGTGGGAACCAATCATTGACATAAAATTTTAGTTTTACAATTAAACTTTATCCCGAGCAGAAATTACGAAAAGGGAACCTTCTGATTTCGCTAATCAATAATTTTTAAACTTAAAAATTAATTTTTTGTGTTGCAATTTTCTTAGAAAATTTTTAAAGTTAAATGTATAAACTATAAAAGATAAGATGATTTTAAAGTTTTCAAGCCCTTATTAAATTTACTATGTATTCTTTTTATAATATTCCGCAGACCACAATATCATATAACAACATTCTCTCTACTGTATACATGAAAAGAGTGTCACAATAAACAAAGGGTAAAAAAGAGCCTACAGTGATAACCAGAAAGCTCTGAAATAGGAAGACGACTTTTTATCAATACTGAATTGATGCGTTACAAAGCAAATGGTTTTATTAGAAGTTATTAAATCACTAATTAAGTGAAATCTATAAGAAAAAGTCCTGACTACTGACATCCGTTGATTAGTCAAAAGTTTAAAGGCATTAAAGGGTTGTTGTAAATTAAATACGGCACTGTATAAATGGAGGGTCACTTGGAATTAGGTCTACAGTCACTTTAATATATTTAGCTTTCAAACGATTATTTAAATATTTTACCTTTTCTATCTATAAGCAGTATACACACACACCACGAATTTTATGGAAATTTTGGATTTTATGGAAGAGAGAAAATTGCCGAACTTTTACTTCTATAAACTGAAGAGACGTTTTGCCCAAATATTAAATTTGTTCAGTTCTGAAAAGTCATTTAGAATTATTTAAGATTTCCTTTAAACTGAATATTTTACTAATCACACAGGATCACACGCTCCTAATCTAAACGATTACATTAAACCGCTTACTCAGCGTAGTGATGTTAGTTACCCCCCCCCCCACCACCCCATTCCCCCTTCTAGTCAGATTAACAGTTGTACATTAACTACTCACCCGTCCCCATCATAGCAATCATCAAACTAAAATGTAAGTATATTCACACTGAACTAAACTATGCTTCATTTGTTAAATAAAATTAATATGAGAAAAGCTCCACGCTGAACTTAATGTAAATTTCCTTTCCACGCTAAACTAAATGTAAGTGGTTTCACATTAAACTAAATGGTTTCACGTTAAAATGAATATGTTTATTTATAGTTATTATTAGTATTATTTAGTTTTTTTAAATAATATTTCGCTTGCGCTGGATTTTCGAACATTCCTGGCAAATAAAAAAATGTCGTCTTCATTATCAAAAATCCTTGAAACAGGAATAATTGTTTTTTCAAAAGTAAATCTCAGATCATGAAAAATAAAAAATATTATGAAATATCAACTAAATACGAATGCGTCGAAAAATTATCGATTACTATTGTTTGTAATATCTGAACAATTTGTTTGGAATTAAATTGATTATTTTACGATCCCAGTTGAATGTTGCAACTTTCTGAATTTGTATGGACACTACGTTCTCCGGTTTGAATCGTTTTTAGCAATTTTCTCCTTATAGACGTAACAGATAGAAGTAAAATTTGTAGCAATCAAAAGCGATTATTTTTCGCCGTAAGCCAAAACCCTATTCATTGTTCGCGAACACTCCCTTTAACTTGGGCAGCTTAAAGTTTAAATTCGTATTTCAACGGTATTTCCAAGGAATTAAACTTAATCTCATCAATTTCAGAACTAACACCGTGGATATAGCTAGCAGTACTAAGCAGAACAATTTTGATTTTGGGGCTATTTACATCTAAAGGCAGCAACCAGAACTAACCAGAACTAACAAGCACCAACCAGAACTAACCAGAACTAACCAGCAGCAACCAGAACTAACCAGAACTAACCAGCACCAACCAGAACTAACCACAAATTACCAGAAATAAACGGAACTTACAAGAACTAACCATAATGAACTTATGGACTGAGGAGTTTTCTTTTGGTACTTTATAATTTAAATGCATGTGCTGACAAAAAAAAGTTTTATAAAACAGAAAATGCGAAATTTTTATATTTCCTAGGATAAATTGTGCACGTTAGGTTGCTGGGGGAAAAGGAAGCTGAAGTCTTTCACAAAAAGTTTGGCCCTCTGATGATATATTTACTTAATTAATTAATAAACCTTAATTATAATCCATTTATTTATTCATTAGTTGAGTATAAGAATATCAGACTGATAAATACATCTTTACAAAAAACATTTTGATTTTTGATTAATAGCAAGTTAAATTCCACGCGTTTTTACCGTAAAGCTAATGTTTGCAAAAAGCCATAAATGGATTATGTGTATATCAGCACTTTAGTTCTTTCTGAACAGAATATTTTGACATATTACATGTTTCTAATTTTGTTATGTGTATTTATAGATATGATATTATCAATTAAATAATGATAAGATGCTTTGCTAAGCTAGGTTTTTAAAGGACTGTATTTGTAATTTGAAGTAACCATTCATGCACGATTAATATCAGTACTCTTTAAACCTCATTCTGATAAATAATGTGGAAGATATCGTTAATTTTCTATCTAGAAGGTGGTTATCTCTGTCAGCGGCCTCTATGGTCTCCGTAGCCAAAGCTGAACCCACAATTAAAGAAACTCAATTGTCAAAAGGAAAAAACATAGATATCTCATTCATTTCTGGTCAAAATGCCTCTCACGAGCCGGGTCAACCTTTCCGGTCCCAGTTTGTACCGTATTGCCCAGACATTGGGTAAATAAAGCAGACACTTTATAGGACTAGCCGGTGCAATAAGGTTGACGCGGTCAGACTTTAGGTTAAATTTACTTTTACTAAAGGGTCAGAGATGCGTGACCTAAAAATGAAAGGTATCTTGAAATAACGTGTACAGTCCCTTTAAAAACAAGAAACTTGTTCAGATGGACAGTATCAAGAAGAAGATGGAGAAGTTGGCGAGTGAAACAGCGGAAGCAGAATATAGAATTGCTCATTTCGAGGAGCTCAAGGTTAAAATCCATAAACATTATTTGTTTACAAAAAGCGCACAGAGCTGAAAACTTTAGAATGTGATATCCTTAATCCCGATTTGTTAATTAATCTGGAGATTAAATTCATGAGGAGAACAAGCAATATATAATCTGGAGATTAAGAAAAAGAGTGGATCAAGCATTAATCCCGATATCCACAATTCTAAAGTTTCCAGCTCAGATTTTTGAATTTATTGTTCATCTCAAAAAAACCAGTGAACTTTTTTGAAACTTCTAAAAACCATTCTCATTCCTAACCTTCCGTGGCGTAGGAAATAGTCTTGTCAATAAAAAGAAACTGATCATCTATAGCTACAAACTCAACATTTTCTAATTATTAATCTTTGCAACAGAATCCCAGATATATTTCTTGTTTTCAGTTTAACATTGTAACTTTCTTTTTTTCATTTTTATTGAAATATCAAATTATTTTTTTATTATCTATGCAGCTTAATTTCATAGATAGACGTTAAATACTTAAAACTATGAATTATGTTTACTTCACCAAGTTGCAAAGATAATTAATATGGATAAAAGCATTTGAATTTGGGACAATTTTTCTTTAAATTTTCATAAATGTGTTGTTAAGGCGGCCAATGAGCTAGAAGCTGAAAAATATGAAGAACAAGTCAGGTAGAAACATAAAAAGATTAACTTCCAATATGAAGAACAAGTCAGGTAGAAACATAAAAAGATTAACTTCCAATATGAAGAACAAGTCAGGTAGAAACATAAAAAGATTTACTTCCAATATGAAGAACAAGTCAGGTAGAAACATAAAAAGATTTACTTCCAATATGAAGAACAAGTCAGGTAGAAACATAAAAAGATTAACTTCCAATATGAAGAACAAGTCAGGTAGAAACATAAAAAGATTAACTTCCAATTCAGAAACTTTTGACAGTTTTTTCTTTTGAATTAAGAACATTTTAGAAAGAAAGAAAAGAATAGGATTATTAACTTTACTTTCACCTTTCATATCAATCGACAGGAGTGAACCTTAAAAGCAAACTTTGAAAAAAAAAATTCAAAATATTTTTAAATTTTTCCTACAATCAATCAATTGTTCTTTTAACAAAAGCAAAAAATTATTTATTATGTAGAGTAAATTTGTATAATACTTTTTTAACAAAATGTCAAACTAAAAAGTTCTACCATCTTCCTTTTATTCTGGTATATTCTGTAGAAACCTGCATTGTGACTCCTGGGTCACAATTCAACGACAGTACGATTCAGCTCAGTGATATATCAAAACCATTGAGAGGTTTCAAATTCTTTCTTAGTTTTGCAACTTGAAAGGTCTGACTTTTAGATTTGAAGTACCTGTTTACTTTTCAGAGTGCAGCGCACTGAAAGATACTTTTAAGAGTGCAGCGCACTGAAAGATACTTTTAAGAGTGCAGCGCACTGGAAGATACTTTTAAGAGTGCAGCGTAATGGAAGATACTTTTAAGACTGCAGTGCACTGAAAGATACTTTTAAGAATGCAGCGCACTGGAAGATACTTTTAAGAGTGTAGCGCACTGGAAGATACTTTTAAGAGTGCAGCTCACTGGAAGATACTTTTAAGAGTGCAGCGCACTGGAAGATACTTTTAAGAGTGCAGCGCAATGGAAGATACTTTTAAGAGTGCAGCGCACTGGAAGATACTTTTGATTTTTATTATTTGAAGTTCTGAATTGGACTGTAAAGTGCAGACTCAATTTCGAAGATTTGATTTGTCTGAATCTCTATTAATTTTTTAACAAAAGAAACTTTTACATATTATTTTATATGATTAGAGTTTGCCAAATAAAAAACGATAACTTTTGATAATAAATACTAAATCCACATTAGTTTGATAATCTTAGGTGTAATTTTGATTCAGAGTCGATATCAGACATATTGAATTTTTAAATCAGAATTGGGAAACGGTTTTCATCAATTTATCTTTTCAGAATGATTAGGTAGCATTAACCCATTTCTTGTACTTATCCGTATCCATGGCCAAATACCAAATTAAGCTATTTTTTTTACAATTTTTACATTGTTGTAAAAATATTGCAAAATTGAGCATAATCTCACTCAAACTGTGAATAGAAATATCCAGAAGAAGATGCAGTCTATGGAGGGACAATTTGATGGATGCACTGAAGATCTTTTTAATCAATCAATCAAGGTAACAGGATGCAAACACAGATTGTTTTAAAAAATGACAATAGTTTAGACATGGATTAATAGGTTTTATAAACGTTAGGTACGTCAGGAGGTGCCAGGCGTTGCTCGTGGAATTTCAAAAAATCTTTAATAAAAAGTAAATCAAACTTCTGAATTTGTTTAACCAATGTCCCTCTCGCTGGGTACCCGTTAATATCCTCAAAATACTTAAACCAATTTGGTCCAGCCGTTTGGCCATCTATCAATATAAATATATCGGATTATCCAACATTTCAGAGACTTGAGTCTTGACATGAATAATAATGCAAAATATTTTTTAAGCGGTTGTGAAGCTTTTAAAGCTTTTTTAAAGCAAGTTTAATTTTTTTTAATAGCATAGCGAGCATGCATCAGTGCACAGATTTGAAAAATGCACATCAACTGAGCTAATTTAGTTGAGTTACAATGCTTTTTTTTCTTGGGTATCAACCCCATTCCTGCTGGATGGGGGGGGAATCGACCCCTCCCCCCGTTTTCTTTTTTCACAACTCAAAAAGTATTGGTCTGAGGCTGTTGAAATTATTTGACTTTTCCTGAATACCCAAAGCCCTCCTGTAACAAACTATAATCTGTTTGACACACTTTCAGTTTTCAGATTTCGAAAATTTTTTGGAAATGGACTGCACAAGTTTTGCAAAGAAAGTTTTGTTTATTATGAGCATACAATCCGTCAAAAGAAATTTTCACTTTTCTAGTTTTTCTTAATTACACATCTTGTTATTTAAAATTTTGCTAAATCTTTTGCTGTTTTGAAATGGTATGTTCAAGGGCTTTTCAAAAATGTATATTTTATCATTGTTGAACATTTTTTTAAAAACATTTTTCCTATATAAATGGATTTTGAGAAGTCAAGTTCTGCAAATTTGCAATTTTTAAAGATTATAAAAGTAGAGCATAAAAGCTTTCCGATGATGTATCATTTGTCATATTTGGACGTCAAACTTGGGATTTAGAGGGAAGGGGGTCACATTGACCCCCCCCCCCCCCACCCCAAGCGAATCCTGGTTTTCAAGTACCCCAGCAGGGAAAGGGTTAATAAACAGGAATATTGATCGAAGCTTTTGAAATCTGGAATTTAAAATATAAAAAGCAATTTTCCAATTTTTGTCAGTACTTGGCACAGTTTTGGTTACTTTTGCGTCGGAATTAGCAATCTATTCTGGAAAATGTCGTCAATGAAAAATTATTTGATTATTCAGCTTGAGGAGATGGAGAAGAAGGCTGGAAATGCTGAAGGCGAGGTTTCTGGACTAAGATCTCGTCTTATCCTACTCCAGGTATACCCTGACATAGGGCTGTATCCTACTCCAGGTATACCCGGGCATAGGGCTGTATCCTACTCCAGGTATACCCAGGCATAGGGCTGTATCCATCTCCATGTATACTCCTCCGGGTATACCTAGGTAAAAGGTTGTATCCTACTCCAAGTATATCCAGGTAAAGGGTTGTATCCTACTCCAGGTATACCCATATATAAGACTGAATCTCCAGGTATGCCAGGCAAAGGGGTGTATCCTAGTACAGGTATAGGACTGTATCCAGGTACACCCATACATAGACCTGTATCCTACTCCAGGTATACCTAGACATAGGGCTGTATCCTACTCCAGGTATATCCAGGCATAGAACTGTATCCTACTCCCGGTACACCCAGGCATAGGACCGTATCCTACTCTAGGTATACTCAGGCATAGGGCTGTATCCTACTCCAGGTATACCCAGGAATAGGGCTGTATCCATCTCCATGTTTACTCCTCCAGGTATACCCAGGTAAAGGGTTGTATCCTACTCCAGGTACACCCATATATAAGACTAAATCCTACTCCAGGTATACCCAGGAATTGGACTGTGACCTACTCCAGGTATTCCCTGGTATAGGACTGTATCCTACTCCAGACATACCCAGACATAGGGCTGTATCCTACTAAATGTATACTAATACATAGGGGTGTATCCTACTCCAGGTATACCCAGAATAGGATTGTATCCTACTCCATGCATACCCAGATATACCCAGGCAGAGAACTAAATTATACTTCATGTATAATATAGAGCTGCAGTATCCTACTCCAGGTATACCCAGGCATAGGGCTGAATCCTACTCTAGAAAAAAACTAGTTTTTGAAAGAATTTTCATTAATAAATCTGAGTACTATGACAATATATTTAAATTCAAGTTTATGAATGTTGTCTTAAATGTTTTTTTTTTTTTATCAAGAGAAATAACCTTAATGTTTTCTAACCTAAGGTTTGCATGATCTAAGGATTAACGATTGTTAACGAAGTGTTGTCGTTAACGATCGTCCAAATTAAAACGACCTATTTAAGTTACCTAAACGACTAACTAAACTATTTAGTATTTATAAAATATTTAATTTAAAAGAACTTTTTCCGAAAACAATCTTTTCAAAAACAAACCGTTCGTGTTTTTGGAAAAGTGAGAAAAAAAGTTAAAACGATCTAATTCTATAGGAGAATACGGAGAAGCAAGAGGAAAGGTTGGCTAAAGCTACGCTAGAACTAGCCGGGGCATGCTTTCGAGCAGATACAAGCGTCAGGTTAAAACAATTTATCGGGAGTTCTTGTCAAAGGGGGTTAGGATAGAATTTAAACATTTTCATTACTATCCGTTGTTTTTGTAAAATGAAGTTGAATTTTCTCTCCATATGTGCTAAAATGTAGTACGATTACGTACAGGGTCCGAATTCAATAAAATGGCGAGGTCACTGAACTATCTACCACCTCGGTCCCGGCCCTGGTTCGGGAAATTGCTACTTTAGGACCATGGATCAACTAGTTCACTCTTAGCTGTATGCCGCGTCCATTAGCGCCTGATCCAATCAGGGTTCAGTTTGTTTGTAGTTGTTCCATGTACAGGACCCATATGCTGTTCACTAGCATTTAATCAATCCAGAAAAAGTTCGGTTACATAATTCATGAAGATGTATATTTACATAAATATATCTATATGATTTTGAAACCATTAGGATAGCTTTGATGTTGAAAATAACAGAGAATTTACGGAATTAATTCACAATTAGTCAGACGAATTAACAACCTAATTTTACAAATATGATTTATAAAACGATATTAACAAAATAGCCCTAGTCCTGCCAATTCAAGTTGTGGTCTGCCTTTATTGTGCGTTTATAATTACCAGAGATATATATGTAAAGTCGTCTGATTAACTATCAGTATACTTCCGGGTCTATCTGGGTATACGAATATAGAAAATATGTGTTTTTTACAGAGAGAAAGAAAGAACAAGAAGCACACTGAATTTCTATGTATTTTTATTATAAAAGATTCGATGCTACATTAAAACTGCTAGTTGGTAATTTTATCACGTTTGTAAAGAAATCGAATAATGCATTTATTCCAGGAAGCGTCATGAGCTGGAGAACGGAGTGTCATCAAATGAGGAGTCGATAGATTCCTTAGAACGTCAACTTCATGATGCTCAGTTCATGCATGGAGAATCAGAGAGGAAATATGAAGATATTTACAGGTTAACTACAACATATATACATTACTTTAAATAATGTTTTTTTGGTACAGTGGTAGGCGATCATATCAATATAATGAAGACAACTTTTTTATTTAAGTTTAAATTGTTAACAAGCTTTTTTAGAATTACAAGTTTAGAAGTAATTTAAGAGAACCTTTTTAATTAAAAGCTTCTTTTTCTTTCCATGTTTTTGTTTATCCATGCTGTTTGAAAAACTTGATATAAATCAACATTGAAATCGAAAGTCGTCTTCATTGAATTGAAATAATCGCCTACCACCGTACGAACCTATTTTCATTGAATCCCACAGATCTAAAAACTTGCAGGTGTAAAGGGAGACCCATAACACTCTGAAAAGGAAGACAACATTTCAGCAGTCTTATGTGCTTTTGATGTTATCATAAAGCAAATACTTCACAAGTAGCTTGAAAATTAAAAGTATCAAGTAAAATGGTGTCAGTTGCTGCATTTTGTGTTGATTGGATATCTTCCTAATCCAGAGTTTATGGGCATCGCTGTATGTTAAAACCAGCTCTTTATAAAATAACGTTATTTACTCTCAGAAAAATTAAAATTGGAGATTTTAACTCCTTCGGGATTCAGTAAGAAGCCCTTGGGCTACAAAGTACAAAGAAAAAAGGCAACACATTGAAGGAAACCCTAAAAATTCAAAAACAAAATCTTTTTTATCATACTTGTTTGTTATTCACAGTGAAAACTTGTTCTCGATTAACTGTTTAATCTGTAAAAAAAAAAAACAGCGCGCGTGCCGATCTCTATCTGAAATCAATGAACGCTTCCTGTACTCTGTTTAGGAAGCTTGCAACCCTAGAGGCAGACGCAGCACGGGGAAATGAACGCGCGGATGGAGCAGAGAAAAAGATCAGGTTCATTACTTTTCATTCAAAAGGAAGGAGCTGAGTTTTTGTAACACGATCTGATTTTATTATAACTACGTCAGACCAATGTCGTAACTCGTAAACCTTTGTTATTTGAAACTATGAATTCTGTTAAGTTTTAAATACCAAAGGTTTATACTTTCTACACTCAAATAAAGGTATATGAAAATTTGAGTTTGTGGCAAGAACTCAGTTCCTTTGTTTAAATTTGAATTAACATCATAATAAAAAACACATGACCTTCAGGGCGATTTGCGCCCCTGTTTTACGAACAATTTTAACTTTAAATGTTGATTTTCTAGTCGTAACATTGTTAACCTCAAAAATTATATAATTGACATTTTTTCTTGCTAATATTTTTAATTTCGACCGTTCATAAACCTTCCCATGAGGAATGTGAGATATCACAAAATTTGAGAGCCCAATTTTTTTAACGTTTATTTAATTCAAACAAACAAACTTAAACAGACACTCAAACCACATGTATGTATATTAATTACATATATTATATGTATGATTAAAGGTACAGACCGGCCATGTAAGGTTATTTAAACTGAGTATGCAGTGTAAAATCGACGTTCAAAACTTTTACTTTTCGGTAGATACGTTTTCAGATTTTTTTTATTTTTATTATTGGATAACGACGACAAAAAATGTAAACAAAATTCTATAGTAAACTAATTTGCTGTTTAGGAACAGGTTTAGAAAAAAAAATTAACTCTTACCATCGAAAAAAAAATAATCTTATTCAATTATAAATTTTTTTATTCTCTCTTTAATCACAAATATTTTCTGCAGATTTTCTGGAATTTTTATTAAAAAGATGAAGAAATCTACGAATAAATTAATAGAAAATAAGAAATTCAATATAATGATGAAAAAGGAAATAATTAATTTTAACTTCTTATGAGAAATACGTTCCTAAACATCTATATTAGTTTACCATAGAATTTTTACCATATTTTTCGTCGTCGTTATTTAATAATTAAAAAAAAACTATTCTAAAAACGTACTCACCATAATTCATGATTTTGAACGTCGACTTTGCGCTCAAACTCAGTAATTATACATCGTGAAAACTTTTTATATGTCTCAAATGAATCCGTAAGAATATTTCCACAATTCTGCATACTTAGTTTACCTACCTTAAATAGCCAGTCTGTCCCTTTAATGCTATACTGACTTGAAGACAGTCAAAAAAGAGAAGCTGGTTTTAAAAATGGAATTTTTTCTTTTTAATTAAAATGTTATGTTTTTGAAATTTTATCAAATAATATAACTTTGGTTGCATGGACTGTGAGGGGTCTAAAATCCAATTCTGAAAATATAATATTATAATAGAACATGAAGTACACATTTTAGCGAGATATATACCTCAAACTTAACTTAACTATAAATGATTAAATGATTTATAATAAGTTTAAAATTATCCAAATAATTGCCTTCAAAAAATATTATTTTGATAACATGGTATAATTTAAAAATATTATTTTGATAACATGGGATAATTTAAAAATATTATTTTGATAACATGGGATAATTTAAAAATACTATTTTGATAACATGGGATAATTTAAAAAAATTTCAAAGAAAAAGATCTGAGTTCTTGCAACAAACTCAAAACTTCTTATCATTATTTCTTGGCATCCTGATGGTTAAAACTTTTTTATTCCAAACTCTCATAGATTCAGCCTGAAACGCCTTGGGCTTTGACTTTACCGCTCTAACTCACTAACGCTTTTCTGTAGCCCTTTACATGTTCATAATAGCACTTGTTGTTAAAGCTTTGGTTTCTATGAAGTAATTGGCAAAATTCTCATCGATTTTTGCTTTCTGATCTAACAGAATTCAAAGTTTTAAACAAAAGTCTACCACATAGGTTGACTATTACCATAACGTGGACAATAAATTGCCATGTTAAATTTTATTTTTTATTCTTTTTATCCCCATGAACGACAATTTTCTTTCGTTAACGGAATTCTATGTTAATTCTTTAAAACGGATCATTTTACTTTTCCCAGCCCTATTCTCCATTTTGTTTTAGCTTTGACGAAAACAAAATAATAATAAACAATTTTAATTTGGGAGAATAATAATAATAATAATAATGAAACTCAAGGCCATTTATCAGAAAGCATATTTTGAATATTGATTGTTAAATATATTTAAAAGTTTCCTTGAAATTTTGAATTTTTCAATTCTAGGTCAATATTTATTTGATCAAATATTTCACTGCGGGCTAGAACCGGAGAAATCCTATATCTCTTGGACACTTTAATCTAGTGAGAGAGGTTTCTCAGAGTGATAAATGTGAAAATATGTAAACGAGATAAATTCAGTTATCCAGCTCTCCCCTACTCTTCTGCCCACTCTCTAGCTAGCCAGCCTCCCCGAGCAGAACTTAGAAATTTGACGCGAAATTTAATTTGGCACAAGAAAGCGTATTCGTTGCGGGATTCTGCGCATAAAATTGTGCGTATATGTGCGGAAACATCCTTTGAGGGTAACTTGCACAAATTGTGCAAAAACATTCTTAATTTGACTTTTGTTAACTATTCAGGGATTTGGAGGAAGAGCTGACTGTAGTTGGTAAAAATCTACAACTTCTTGAGGTCAGGAGACAGTGTCATTAAATGGACTGTAGGTTTAATTCAAAGTAACCCTCCATGCAAAGATGGCAATGCCAGCTTCACAACGGTACCCTTGAAACCTTAATTTATTAAATATTGTGAAAGATATTTTCGCTTGTTTACTTATGATATTTTCAAAATGTTTTCTTTCAAGTCATTTTTGTAGAGAAACCGCAGTTGAAAACTATCAGATTTTAAAATTATAAACATTGATATCTGATTCATACTTGATTGATAATCTTTGCCATCTTTGCATGTAAGATCCCTTGAAATTACGCTTATTTTTTCATGGGTTTGCATTTTTTTCAAAGGATTCATAAACATCTGCGAAGTCCACCATTTTCAACCAATTTTTATTTATTACATCAAAATAAAAAAACCAATTTCGACTCTGCACTGGCTGAAAAAAACACTGAACAAAACAAATCCTATTGTTTGTTACCGAACAACAACAAAATGTTTATTAAAAACAGCCTTTTGAGGGATAAAATAAGTGGTGAGAAGTATTTAAACTGAACTTGGTGGAAAAACATTTCTTCAACTTGAACCAGCTCACAACAATTTTAACTAATCTGATACAAGGCTAACCACAAAGGATAAGACTGTAAAGACGACCTGAAACTCTCAAAATATTACGATTTCAAGGTTGAAATAAATGTTCTTCCCTGATTAAAGTATTTTAGAAGTTTATTTGATGTTTACCGTTCCAGAAATGCGGCAGAGCTGTGAATATAAGGAAACAGACAGTATAAATACCATACAATCGTCGTTGAAGTCTCATCCTTTGTGGGTAACCCTCCACTTGCATGGCAAATACTGTTAAGCCTTTTTATACTTGAACAAATTTTACTGCTTAAAAAGGATGAAGAAATTCAAAGGTAACGTGGTACAACGAAGTACATACTGTATGAATTAAAAATATTAATGGTCATATTTTGATCTCTCTTATTCAAAATCCAACAAAAATATTGTAAAAGACTTCCTTACTTTAATTTTCGAATCAAAAGCCCAACAAAAAATTTAAAATAGCAATGACGCAAAACTTGCATCTGGTCGGTAAACACAGGTTCTAAAGATAAGACTCACTGACCTTTAAGCAAGGATCGAATTTAACGAATTTAAACTGCCTACCGCCGGTTCAAATCCTTTAACTTTGAATCGGTGATTGTTGATCAGGCAGTAGGTAGTTCAGTAACGTTTCTCAAATTCATAAAATTCCGTCCCTGACTCCCAATATCTCTCTTTTAGGTTGGGGAGGAACAAACAAGGATTAGAGAAGAGAAACTTCAGATACAAATATTGGAGCTCAGGTAGGCATCCGCCATTTTCTTACAGTCACACGCAGAACACTGTGGAACAGGAAGACGACTGTCAAGTTTGAGCTATTTTTTTATTCAGAGTCGTACACAAGGGGGGGGGGAGTTTTCAGGCCCCAGCTGAACCTTTCCCAATAAAGTAAAAAAAAATGTAAGACAAATTACATTTTTGGTCGGAAAATCCTTAGATCAGAAATCTCTTAGGTCAGAAAACATTCTGGTTTTTTAGAAGAAAAAAAAGAATTTAAGACAATATTCATAAACTTATCTTTAATGAATTAATTGTCATAAGACTCAGGTTCATTGGTGAACAGTTTTTCAAAAAAGATTGTTTTTCGTTTTTTTGAGTTCAAAACGAGGCCTAGGGGTTCGTTTTCAAAAAGATAATTGTTTTTTCTAAAACCGAAACAATCGTTTTAACAAAACCAAAAAGAAACGAAAACTATCGTCTTTAAAACGATTAACAACCCTAAATTCGAGAGTAACTTTACTGTTAAACAACCTTGCCGTAATCTCATACACAGATTTCAATCTACAATGTTACAATAAAGTTATCATGAGTCCTAATCCTCCAAACATAAAACAAACTCAAGAATTTTCTTTTAAATTATTCAGTTTTCTTGAACGATAAATAATGTATTGAAAGGTGTATGAAAATATCTAAATACAAGTGAATGATTAAACAGAAATTTTATCATTTATCAGGATCAAAAATATTTAATTTATCAAGTTGATGTGATGTTTAGTGCTTAATCAATTTTAAGTCGTAGTATTTCCTTGCATATATACACTCAGCTGAGATCTAGATAGCTCAGAAACTTAGTCATCACATTTTTAGACAGCATCGACTTTAAAGTGTCGCAACGCCTTGGCCTTTGGTTTACCTCACCAACCCACTTATAATTTTTTGCAGCCCTAGACATATACATTTTAAATTTTTTCTGGCTTAAGCTATTCAGGAATAATTGACAAAATAGTATTCGATTTTTGCGTATTCAGAGGCCGAAATTAAGAATTTGAGCCGTAGCTTAAATTTTAGCTGCGGCTCAAATATGGTTGGTTCCACTTAAAATCGTATTCAATGTTTCAATATTTAAGCCGGCACTCAATTGAAACTGGTGTTTGAGATGTGGCTCAAATTCGTTACATTTGGACTCAGATCTTGGTTTGTAGTAGATAACTATGTATATAAGATTACTTCAGGCTAAAGGGGTCACATTTTTAAAATTGATACAGGATGTTTTCGGGGAAATTTTATTTAAATATTTATTTTTCAGTTTTTGACATGATAGGTTTTAAAGGAATTAAATCTTTGCAGCCACAAACTCAAATTTTCCCTATATCTTTGCAACCTGATGGTGTAGACCTTACATATTTCAAACTAAAGAAACGACTTGAAAAAAATCTTCGATTTCTGATATTTGATAAAGGACAAAAAGTGGCTTAAAATCTTCAAAACTGACAGAGATATTTTGCTGTTATTTAATAAATGCGAATCACCGTTATTTTTAAGGTGTAACTATGGTAACCCAAATTTTAGAATACCCAAGACTAATAATTTTAATCATTTTTTAACTCTTTGCGTAATAATGCCTTTCAGAACATAGACGATATAGAACACACTGTATACTTATTTTCTAGTTTGAATTTCCTTTCAAATGTACATATTATTATTTATTAAGGAACAAACTGAAAGGAATAGAGTATAGAGGAGAACAGGCAGAGATGAATATACAGAGATTAAATGTTAGAATTGATCAGGTATAATATCGGTTTGACGTAATTTCATCTCAACCTTAGTTTGTAGAGTGTGATGGCAAATTTATTCTGAAAACCTTTATATGATCAAGGATAAAGGTGCAGATATCCTTATTTTTCTAGTTAAAAACAAAATGTTGAGAAACTCTAGAATACATAAATAAAAGTTTAAAGGGAACCGTTGAAATTTGAACATATTACGCTCTCCATAGATTAATAACAATACAGATAGGACACCAAATTTCGTCTTTTCAAGATTTAGGGGTTTTTCGTTCACAATAATCCTGAGGCAGAAGCAGAAAGAAATGCAGAGTTGAATTGCAAGAAAGAGCATTTGCGTAACTCCTTTGGGCTTCTGTCTCAGGGTTATTAACGAAAACCCCTTAAAATTCGACATCTAGTGTTCTATCTTTATTGTTTTTAATCTATGACGCTCACATTTTCTTTAAGGCCGGGTAGTCTGAAAATACATTTAAAACATCGATTGAATTTTAAATTCAATATTTTTTAACAAGCCTAAAAGGAAATTGTGAACTCATGAAGAAGACGAAGAAGTTTTTGTGATGTAAAATTGATTTTCAGATATTTTCAAAAGAACTGTATTTTATCATATTTCTTTTGAAAATGTGATATTGTATACGTTATTATCGATTTTATTTGTATTTGAATTCAAGGTTCGAGATTATATTTGTAGAAAAAAAACTTTTAAACTTTTAGATTTAGACATTTTAAAATTGCAAATCATCAAAAATTTAAATGAACCCATATGAAGTGTACGATTTATTTTCTTAAATTTTTATGATAAATAATCTACATTGTTTAAACTGTTAGGTTTAAAAGAGACCTAATTTAACCTATACCTCCTTTTCTAAAGTAGTAGGTTTGATTCACAACGGGACCTTCAATCCTTTGACTGCTCATGGCTGCCTGAGATATTCTTTTTTCTCTAACTTAAAATTGAATGGCTGGAATTTATTATTGATGAGACAAAGGTTTGTAAAGGGTACTGTTGTGTTGGAATTGCCACTTGAGAAAGAATTGTTGTAGGTTGAAGAGGATTTGCTGCAGGAGAAACTAAAAATTAAGAAGGTTAGCGATGAGCTGGATCAAACCTTTGATGATATGCTAAACTTGGCAGTTTAACCAAATTATTTAATTATACATAAAATTATTGTAATAACAGTAGAATTTAGATTGCCAAATATATATAGTAATTAAAAATGTAATGTGTGTTTATACAACACCAAAATTCAGTAAGAAAATATTTATGACGCTCCACCTGGAAAAAAAATATTTTTGGTGATCTGAAAAAAAAATATGAGACATGAAAAGGAAAGTTTTTCATCCTTTTTAAATCTTTTTCTTCTCTGATTTTGGAAATAGATTATTTTCTGTCGAATCATGGAACTAATGATTCCTGAGCAGAATAGAACTTAACAAAACCTCAGACAAATAAAAAACAAGAAAACAATCTCCAAAAGATTTTATTATACAGGGTTACCCTAAAAGAATGATATTTTAAAAACTACCAGAAAGAATCTCTAAAAATATGATGGTCTCATGGTTGAATTAAATCTTCTTCCTTCATATGTAGGCTCTGAAGTCTGATACTGGTCGGGCAACCCAGTATAAGGATTGATATATATAAGATATCTCCACAGAGGCGCCATAACTATAGGGATGGGCAAAAGTCAGATTCGTTTTACAGAAACGTTTAATGTTTTTAGAGTTTTGAAAAGGTTTTACGACAAATGAGAACTTTCCAACGTTTTAAAACTTTATATTGTAGAAGTTTGCTTTTATTTAACATGCAAATTTGTTACCATAGAAGAAAATAAAATGCGAGTTTTTGGGTTTTTAAAACGATAGTTTTTGGTTCGTTTTTGCCTTATATTTTCACCTAGGATACCCATGTTTGATAAAAGCAAACTTCTAGAGAATTCATTTTTAAATCGTTGGATCTTTTTCAGATTGTCGTAAAACCTTTTAAATCTAAAATATTAAAAGTTTTTGTAAAAAAAATCTAGCTATTGTTCATCGCTAGCCACAGCGACAAGTGAAAAGTGATCCAGAGCTGAAAACTTTAGAATGTGATATCCTTAATCCCGACCTGTTAATTAATCTGGAGATTAAATTCATGAGGAAAACAAGCAATATTTAATCTGGAGATTAAGAAAAAGAGTGGATTAAGCATTAATATCGATATCAACCATTCTAAAGTTTTCAGCTCAGTAGACATATGATCCAGTTATAAAAAAAAATTTGATCCACGGTATTGATTTGTGAAATTATTTGCATAATAATAAAATGCGGGAACTATTTGATAAAAATTTGCATAAAATATTTTCTCAGTTCGTGTTTAGTCAGGATGCAGGTGGACAGTATGGTGAAGAAGAAAACATTGTTTGTTCTCAAATTACACTGAAAATTTGATAAAATAAGTCCAGAATCTAGAAAAAAAACTCCCTGATAAATGACGACATTCATTACTTTTGTTATGCATCAGGAAATCCACATAATATTGGATTTATTATAAGCTAAACGCAAAAATAGATTAAAAAATGTAAAACTATTCACTCCACTGAATTTTAATTTTCAAATATAAATATTACCTTTTTATTATTTAAATTACATTTTATTGATTAATTTGTTTCAGTAAGTTACTTTTATTTATATTAATATCTAAATACTTTCTATAGTTCTGCGTCAGATTGTACAAGCAACATTAGAAAAAAACAAAATACAAACATGATTGACCATATGGTATTTGAAGAGTAAACGATTGAATATAAGCTTGGTAATGTAGTATATTGGNGGCATACATCAGAAATCGGTCAATATCAATTAATCCAGTTATATATTTAATAAGATTGTTGTGCCTCCAAGTATATCTTTTTTGGTGTAGTGCAACCTTGCAGCCATTCAAAATATGGTTTGTAGTTTCTTGTCTTCTACCTTGCAATTCAGCGCCTGCCTGTAGACATAGTTTACAGAGATCTGATGCAGATTTTCCCCATTGTAGAAGGTTAGTTTGTGTTGGCAGGGTGTCCAAACAGGAGTTGAGTAGGAATTTCAGTGTACCTTTCTTCAGATTGAACATGTAAGATTTCCAGATCATGTCAGATTTTTCAAGCATTGCCAGGCAGAGAAAATGTCCTTGTTTTATGAGTGTTTCTGTATGTTCTCTCCAGAAAGTTTAATTTTCAAAAGATACTTTTTTACTGACAGTTGTTTTCATTTTTTTATAGCATTGATGTTCGAAAGCTTGGTCATCCCATTCAGGCATTCCTGCTTGACAATACTTCTCTAATGTGGCTTGTTGAAACATTTTTTCTGCAAAGTGGATCTGTGATGGAATTTTTGCGGAGCCAAATTTTTTCCCTGTCTAATTTAGATTGTAAGGCAGAGTTAACTGTGTCATCACCCAGTATTCTTATCCTAGTGTATGCTTGAGTCATAGTTGTTTTGTACAAGGGTGGATATTGTAGTGATGTCTAGGCCAGGTTTCAAGTGTAGAGCAGCATTTGTTGCACAGGGTGGTAATCCAGTCCATTTTTTTACAAATTTATTAGTAAGTATTAGTCTTTTCAGATGCCTTTGTGATATTGTATGAACAGTGAGCAGAAATCGAATAGAAGGAATGAAATAATGTTTGTAGATCCAGACTTTATATTCATCCCGAATAAGAAGTACATTTATCTTTATGAGTTTTCAAATTCCCTCTTGATGTAATCGCTAAGTTTACCAGTAGGAACTAGAAGTTTGCCAAGGAATTTCTGCTCTTCTTGATATATGTTTTTGAATTTCAGTTTCACCAATAGTAAAGTTTATTCTGCTAGGTACACCCGATCTGATGGAAAATGATCTACATTTTGCTGGTTTAATCTCATTCTCATACTTTCAATCTTGAATTTTATTTCATTTTGAATATTTTGATGTTTTCTCAGATCTTTTGTTATCAGGCAAAAATCGTCAGCATATGGCAGAGTAATAATTTTCTCTCCATTCAGAGAAATAACTCTTTTTTTAAATTGTGCACCCTTGATTCCAGGACTAAAGATTTTCAATTACTTAAATTGTTTCCTTCGCCAACAGTCTGACCTTTCCTAGCAAAACAAACAAAATTTTCCTTTGTCTTGTATAGTTTGTTTGTATTAATATAGCAGATGTTAATATTTATTTTCGCATTTGGATAAGCTCATTTGCATATTCACAACATTTTTGGGATATTGTGATCGTATTGATTGTTTGTTTTCTATGTTTTGTTAAAATTTAATTTATTTAACAATTTTCACCTTATTATAGACGCGACAGATAGAAGTAAGATTAGTAACTTTGTTGAAAAATAAATTTTGTGTTAAAAAATTCAAAACAGGGAAAATTTTAAGTCCCCAATATTTCATTTTCTCTTAATATCTTCTGCAACAAATATTGTATCCATTACCCCTTAGCCAAAACAGTACACAATGTCCACGAATTCGTGTTTTATTCAATTATGTTTAACAAGAATATTATAAAAATCATTATAAAACATTTATGTTTTAGCAGGGAAAGTTTTTTTTTATCGAAAAGAAATAACTGTTTCCGCCCTGTTAGATAAATAAAAAGGTGTTCGATAAAGCAAATAATTCATTGTTTGACCTTCTAATGACCTTTAACGACCTCTAATGACCTCTTATGACCTCTTATGACCTCTTATGACCTCTTAATGACCTCCAAATTGAAATTTTTTCTTACTATGGTTTTATGGATATCATACAAAAGCTAGGAGCTTAGGCAATACAGTAAAACAACTAGTCCAGTGTTTGACTTTCTTATAACCTCTTAACAACCTATGATGACCTCCAGATTGAAAATGTTTAAACTATGGTGTTATGCACATCAAACGAAAGCTAGAAACCCAGGCAAGAAAGGTCATTAGAAGGTCAAACACTGAATTCTTTGCCTTTACTGTATGGCCTGGGTTCCTAGCCAGATTCTTTCAATATTTATATTACTTGCCTTTTTCCTTACTTAATTCTGGGCAGATGTTTATTTGTGTTTGATGCATTCATGACATAAAAGTTCTAAGTAGGTAAGTTAGATTTTGCTAGAATTAGCCTTAATTATTTTCATAAAGGACAAGGAGAAGGTTCCAGCTCTTCTACAAGTCCTCCTAGTAAGGTTTTCCATGGTTTCACCTGCCCAATTGGATAACCTTCTTCTATCCACACAAGGAGGTTAGAATCAAATAGAAATAGTTTTCTTGTGAATAAACAGTATTTTGTAAACAAAAATTGCTCAGGCAAGGCACTTTTTTCAACTAGGCCTGGGCAACTTTCTGTTAACAGTACAAACCATTTATGTTTTAGACATACCCCAACCCTGCTAAAATATGTCACCTTTTTAATTTGAGACCAAAAACTTTTCAATTGATGTATTAAACATCTACTGTTAGGTTCTTAGTATTTGAATTCAGGTCATGTTAGGCATAAAAAAACTTAACGGCCGACACCATTAACGGTATGTTGCCAAGCCCAATTCTTCTCTACTCAGAAATACTGAGCTTTGGTAACTAATTATACTGGTTCTAAGGCTTCCCAAGATATGACATAGTAAAATGGTAGCAAACTCTTACTCTTAACAAATCCTTAGTTCTACGTTTCTAAAAACAATTCCAGCTGTTGCCTTCAGGCTGTAGAAGAGATTTTGTTCATTCTCAAAATTACCGTTCATTTTCCATCTATATGGTTTGTTTTCTCACTGAACGATCGTTCAGTAAAATCATCTGATCTGTACAATGAAATCATTCTTTAAGTTAAAAAAAAATGGTTTCATTCATTCATTAAAAAAAACAATAGTTTTAAGGATTTTTTTAACAAATTTTCTGAAGGACACCATCGTTCACAACACATTTTGTTCATTCTCAAATATTTTGTTTTTTCACAATATTGATGCTGATCTCTACCTGGATGACAGATCCTTTACAGCATTTAAAAGCGTTATTAAACCATCCTGCACTTTAATTGCAACGTTTTCAAGCATGTGTATTATAATTCCTTAATAAAATCAAAGCATGAAGTTGCATGGTAATGTGCTATAATTTGATCTAATGGCAAATTGTGGCTGCCATGATGATTGATGAGGTTTCATTTTAGCACTAACTATATCATTTTTATTGTGATTTGAAATCTCTTTAGTATCAAGTTTGCTCTTATCTCTTTTTTTCAATTGATTTATTTGGCAACCTTTGTTTTTATATATAGTAAATACAACTAGAGCTTAAGTTGCTTAATAATGCTGTTAAAACAAATTAATCAAACGTGAGCATCATAACCAAGTATGCAATGGAGCTGCTGATTACTGTCATGAAGGTTGTCTTCTCCACATAGAAGAGTCCAAGTGCATTGAATGGCTTCTCATTGTTGAGCATGTTAATAGCTAAAAAAAATAATTCTACATTGTCATGATCTGATTTTTGGCTGTAATATCATTATTTTTAAAGTTACCTATTTGAAGTTTATTTGTATTGTCATCATCACACTGTAAGGCCATTAAGCTAAAATTTAACATTTATTTTTCTGCTTCAATTATAAATATCTGATCCAAAGTGATCCTACCTGAAGCAATATAGGTTTATAACCCTAGCTTGAAAATTTCCAATTTAATAGAGATAAATCTGCTAATTGGGAGGGAAAACTTTCAAATTAGGGGGGGAAATTTGCTGATCAGTTGGGAAACTCAATCAGGTTTGGAAAATATCTGCCAATTAGGAGGGAAAATATGCAATTGATTGGGAAAATTTTCCAATGAAGGTAAAATTTGCCAATGAGGGGAAAAAATTGCAAATTTTTATCTTATTGGAGTAATGGCTAAGCTTCAGCAACAGAACTCCATATCCGGTGGACAAGCTGCTGATATGAAATTTACCTCCTCAATTAAGGGAAAGGAATAATTTTCTGGCACCATTACCCTGCATCTAACAGGCTAGACAGCTGGGCTTAGCTTGTTGAAATTATACAGTCAAGACTCAAAAATGTTAGTAAGTGATACCTGAGTTTATGACTAAATACTGCCAAAACTTGATGTGTATCATCACAGAAGCCTACAATGTAGAAAACAAGTAGAAGCATGGCAAGGACACCTAGCACAATAGCTGGAAGATTCCCATGGCTTCCCCTCATAAGTGCTTTAATAGCCAAGTAAGTGTACAACAGGATGTATATTGTTGCACCTGAGAGCAGTGTTTAGAATCATGGTTCAAAACAAAATGGCAACATATAAAACATAACATTAGAAAAACCTTTGGTCTTAATCCATGCCCTTGAAATATTGATTCACACTAGACTTGTGTTATTTATCAATTGTAAGACTAATTTCCATCCTTTGGCTGTTAAATATCTGATGGGTGCTTTGCCTTGTTCTACGAAATGATGGTTTACCAATGACCATTTTTGTTTTTGTTTTTTTACATTTGACAACTAATGAGAGATCAACCAAACTTTCCAAATCATTGGCAATTTAAGTTAAGATGAAAATTAGTGGGGAAAAGAAGAAAATGTCAGAATTGGTGTTTGCCTTGTGGTAAAAAAAAAACTTTATGTAATATCATAAACTGGAGGATTTTTCCACTGTATGGATCAAGGATCTGTCCATATCTAACTGAAATGGATCCTAAACACTGCCTGAAAGAATGGAGAAGAGAATAGGACTAAATCCTTGCTTAATATTCCTGGTTTTCTCAACCAACGTTACTGACTTCACAATAAGAGTGTCAACATCAGTTATTTCTATTTTATTGCCCTCATCTATAATTGGTGAAGAGACAAAGGTGATTACCAGCATGACACTAACAATCCCTATCGTGTGAAGGGTATTGAAGGCAGTATAGAGAATTGGTATTGCAATACCCAATCCAGATTTAATAGCTGTGTAAACGCGAAGTACAGTTATGATGATGGAGAAGGTAGTGTATACCACCAGCCAAATCATTCTGGAAAGTTTATATCTATTTAAAGACATCTTAGACTTTTCTACCAAGTTAGCTGTAAGAATTGGACATATCAAAGAAAACACTATTGTTTGAATAATGTGAATGATATCCGCTATTTCCATAATTGTGCTAGCTGATTGTTCCAGTCGTTTAAAGTGGATTGACACCAGTAGTTTCCCAACAATACGACAAGTGGTTGGAATAATACTAAGAAAAGTAAATGCCACAGCAGTTTTCCAAGATACAAGCTTAAACTTTAATTGTCCATTGGCATCTTCATGAACAGGAATGAGCCCTAAAAGATTAGAGTAATAATTAGTATGAAAATAAAGAGAAAAAAATTATGCTCAATGGTATTTTAAAAGAAACATAAAAAACAGACCTATAAAGACCAGAATTTTCACCAAATTCACTGCTCTCCAGAATTCAAGTAATTTTAGAAACATTTTATTTGTGAAGTTTTAACAAACTGAGCCCAGTAGAAGGTTGTTAAAGTAGAACTACCTTCAGTAAACATGTCTAAATCAATATATTTGAAATAAGTTCAATAATTTATTTGAAACAACAAAGTTGAAATTAAAAACTTGATTAATTATTTGTAGCTATATGTTAACCATTAAATATGGAGAAAAGCTGAAATAAAGATAAACAAACCTTCTGCCCCTCTCCCTCTATCTAGAAAATTGGCTTTTATCTTTAAACCTCCAAACAAATTTCGTCTGTAAATGACGTAACTGATTGTGTGGCAATGTGCTTAGGGAGGTGGTTTGCGGATGCTCAGGCCTGTCTGATTGTTTACCCTCAAACTGCAAAAACAGCCCCATTAATTGTTATTTACAGATTTTAACTGACAATTGCTTTGGAGAATACTTTTCCCGTACATTGGAGCGCATTGAGCCATAATTTTCCCAACTTTTTTCTGCTAGGTGTCACCCAGAGTATGGAATAAAAGGGAGATGGAATTGACCCAGCCCACACTACCATATGATTATAGATGTTTTGTAAACAGGGTATACTCCATTTGAAAATGAGTTTTCAAAGGTTGTCTTTTTATTTACTAAATGTGGTTTTTACGAAACCTTATGAAAGTAACCCGATTTTTATTTTATAAAAATATACATTTGTATTGCCAGTATTTTTCATCCCAAAAAAATGCATTTGTTTGGCTTTATTCAGCCTAATGTTTTTCCTGTTAAGTGTATACAATAACCTATTCTGTATACATGTATGTATGCAAATAATTCTTGATTAAGTACTGACTGCAAAGCATGTATAATCACATGGTAGGGCGGGCCGGGTCGATTCCTTCACCATTATATTCCATCAGAGGCGCAACTAGGGGGGAGAGGGGGGGGGCGCGCCCCCCCCTGCAGAATGAAAAGAAAGAAAGAATGGCGAAAATCAGTATCACGTGAATAAGAACACCAATAGAGTTATTGTAGAAATTGTATTATACTATGGTTAGTTTTAAAAAGAATATTTTTATCTTTCTCAATTCTCAAGGCTAAAGGCTATTGTAAACATTTAATGTAAAAAAAAGTTCTGAACTGTATTTTATTTGTGTTGAGTTTATAGAGTATTCGTTATAGATATCAAACTTTGAATTCTTATGGTAAAATATTCCAAGTTT